ACCCTTTTCTCATCACTTGTGTAGAGATTTTTATTATAAAAATAAGGAACACACTATACTTTAAATTTAATCTTTACCTTTTCTGTATCTCCTACAGACATTTCTGGGCCTTGGTAGGAGGAAAATCAACTCAAACTGTCCCCGGGGTTTTATGCACCCCGTAAAATTTTGAAAAATGTGATTATTTTTTGTATAATTTCTTATTATTTTCCTTTATCATTCTTTGTTAAAATTAGCAGAATCGCATAATTTCACATTTTTGGGCTCAGTTTGCATAATTTCAGAATTTTTCTTGCATAAAACGACGGGGACGGCTCAAATGTGAGGTTGGTCTCATTGTATGGACGTGAGACATACATGAAATGTAGCTACAGACTTGCATATATAAGGAGGATCTGTGTTTCCTTGAACAAGTTCTTTTAGTAAGAGTTTCCGGCACTAGCAACACAATAATATGGTCATAAGTGCTGAAGTTAGAGGTGTTACAAGAGAGTAACAAACCCAAAAAAGAAGAAGGGGAGATAGAGACCATAGATGTGTTGATAGGAAAGAAGAAGCAAACCACACCAGAGCACCCGCCAACCTCCCACTTTCTTGAACAAGTGTCTGAGAAAGTTACTCGGTACAAGAAAGTCTTCCTGTCGGCAGCAAAACCTAAACAGAATAATATATATTCATGTATCAAAATGTAATAAAATATATATATATATATATATATAGTAGTCATACCTGTAAGTTATAGGTAGGCCTATATATATAGTAGTCATACCTGTAAGTTATAGGTAGGCCTATATATATAGTAGTCATACCTGTAAGTTATAGGTAGGCCTATATATAGTAGTCATACCTGTAAGTTATAGGTAGGCCTATATATAGTAGTCATACCTGTAAGTTATAGGTAGGCCTATATATAGTAGTCATACCTGTAAGTTATAGGTAGGCCTATATATATAGTAGTCATACCTGTAAGATATAGGTAGGCCTATATATATAGTAGTCATACCTGTAAGTTATAGGTAGGCCTATATATATGGTAGTCATACCTGTAAGTTATAGGTAGGCATATATATATAGTAGTCATACCTGTAAGTCATAGGTAGGCCTATATATAGTAGTCATACCTGTAAGTTATAGGTCATAATAATAGTAGTAATACCAGCAGCGGTGAAAATACCACCAAATGAGTGGGGGCGAAAAGACTCATCCCCCTACAGCACCAGACAACAATCTTCTTAGATACACGAAAACGTACGTACAATATCATCAGTGTTTGTGACTATTCCCGTTTTTCTCGTCCACTCTTCATTTTTATATTGTCTTTTCGTGAAAATCAAACTCACAGAGGACTAGTACTGTAACAGTCAAGTGGGAATAGAATCAGTTTGTGAAAAAGTTCACATTATTGAGCAAAGAAGTCACAAAAGGAAGAACCCCTGAAAAGCAAACCAAATCTCGGAATCCCGTGACAAGTTTCTAGACAGCACCAAATCACACTGTTTCTTACTACTAAATATCTAGTGTTTCTCTTATCTAAAACAAACGCGCCACCAAAAGGCATTTTCAGGCTCTCGTGAATCTAGGGCATGACTGAAGTTATGGGTATCATCCTAAAGCGTATTCACTTGTCTTGCTTTTGATTTTAATTTTTAAAATACCCATCTATCGTGAGCAGAAGTCAAGACATTCGCAATTGAAGGAGGTGGGGGTCAGAGATAAAATAAGCCAGAAAATGCATATATATTAAAAGTCTTCGGGCCTTTGGTCAATGTTTTTAGCAAAATTCACACAGAAATGTGTTTTTCAAAATGGGCCAAGACATATAGGTATACAGCAAAAAAAAAAGAAAGAAAATTTGTTAAAAATTACTTAACATTAACAGTCGAGAAAAATGTTGGTCTCTTCGATTTCGATAATTTGACAAGAACCTGGTTCCACCACGCCTATCAACAGATTTTTATATAAGAAAAAAGCCCCAAGTACAAAGTAGCTCGACCACTGAGGGAGAACTGGTCCTTGGATACACTGGACGGTCAATATCAGTCATATGAAGGAAATTTCAAGACTGAGTTAACATTATTTTCAAAAACTATCACCTTTTCCCTACAATTTAAAATAAGAATGAAGTAAATATGACTATATTTGATGAAATTACAGAGCTTTTAATTGTGTGAGGTGAGGAAACACGAAAAGGAGAAAAAGGCCTCCAAAGTTGAGCAACATGTTTCCATAGCAATTGAGGTAGAGATTTGAAATTTATAGTCGATTATAGTCGTCTATTTTTATCTTAAATGAAGCAGAAGACATTAAACTTTCAATTGATACAAAAAAACAAAAATTTCATGGAAAGTCAATTTTTTGGCTTTCGAGCCTTGTAGCTGATGATAGCACGCTGCGTCTTACGACTGATATTGACCGGGGGGGGACAGAATCGTGCTTGGTGAAACACAAAAGTACCCTGGTAATCCTAGTCCAATCGTATCAATATTATAAAAAAGAATCCTACACTTCTTTAGTGGGCAAAATAATGATAGATTTTGTTGTGTAAAATTACTAAAACTGGTGTCCGGGCTATAATTTATCAACATCATGATAAAACAAAGTCGAATAAACTACGAAATTGCATTTCAAAACTGAATCTAAGCTTCCGATTTTCAGTGGAAATGCTTGACCCGGATGTCAACATTATATTATGACCTTTATTTTAACATGGATATGTGGAATGGAATAGAATCCAAGCTAAAATTGAAGATCGGTTCTCGAGCCGCCAGGGGCGGCTTAGCGCACTGACGGCACTTTAACCGCGCCGCCCCCCCACGGCTCGGGCGTAGCGAATGAGTTAAATAGGAACAGCAAGAACTTGAGTTAAAGAATTCTATTGTTTTACCCCACTTTTTGTAGGCATAGCAGCACACTGCCCAGTGACAAGACACCTAAAGTAAGGGAATGATCCATCCATCACATAGCAGTAACTAAAACAGGCCACTAAATGGCATAATAACGCACACATATTAATCATTATGCGCATATATATATTCAAAGAAACACAAAACATTTGTATACAGTTTGTAAATCAGTCTTCCAACAACAAATTAACGAATCGTTAAAAACAAAAAACCCTGTAAGGAAAATAATGGAAAAAGAAAAAACCCCAGTGAAGCCTGTGTGTAGATAGATCTAGAGAAGATAGAGAGATAGCCACAATGACTGTCCACAATGTTGTAGAGGGGAGAAAAACAAAACATGTGAGGTCGTTTCATAGACACAAGAAAAATCAATATAATATGGTATACAGGAACCTGGAGAAGAATCACAGAAATCGATGTACCGAAAAGTGGGAAGATATCAAGAGGCTAGCCCAGGATAGAAAAAGGTGGAAAATGTTTGTCCGTGGCTTATACCCTGGTGCAGGGTGAGAAAGGCAATGATGATGATGATACTAGTACTTTGGTAAAAAGAGCCGAGCATTGAAACAGAAACAAGCCATGCAAAATACAACACTTATGTAGAAGCATAAAAGAGAAGTAAATTCCCTAAAAACTTATATACATACACAGTATATATATATATTGTTTTCAAAGGAGCTTGCAAAAATTAAGTTTAATACAATGTATGTGAGTACATCATTCAAAAAAACCTCAGCAGCAGTTGCGTTACAAAACCTTCTGACAAACTGTAGCACAAGAAATCTTAATTAAAAAATGATGATATAATTGAGACAGAATTTGGAAAAAAAAGACGAGAGCACTGAGACAGAACTAGGAACACAACCAAAGACTGGAAAAACTTTACTAAATCGCGACCTCGCCGCTTTCTTGTCCTATCTCCATTTTTAACAATAGTGAAAACAGTTCATAACAAAGAGTGAGCTTATTGTTTTAGTAAGAGTTTTACGGCACTCGCAACACAATAAGGTCATATAAGCGCCGAAGATTAGAGGTGTTGCAAGACAGTAACAAACACAAAAAAGAAGGAGCGGAGATAAAGGCAATAGATGTTTGATAGGAAAGAAGAAGCAAACCACACCAGAGCACCAGCCAACCACCCACAGAGTGAGTTTAAGAAGAAGTCACATTTTCAAACTTAAATAAAAATGGAGATAGGACAAGAAAGCCCTGAGTACGCGAAGTGGTAAACTGTAAAACAACGAGAGAAAACTTCGGAGCAGAGATAACCTGCTGTATGCACAACTCATCACAGATATATATCTACTATACTGCCGTAAGCTGACAAAACGCCTTTCTTCAGATTTGGAAGCAATTTTTTTCATTTGCAAAATCGAAAGCCAGAATGAAACTGTGACTAGTTTTTAAAAATAAATTTGAGTTGAAATTTCTGAAGAACGCCTTTTTTATGCTAACAAAAAAGTCTCTTTATCTTGAAACTGCTGGGAATTAATTTTAAAAAGTTGTTAAGTCAACTTACAAAAGATGTGGGACTCGTCAAGGATAACTGCTATACATGATATCATAACTCATCAGGAATGTATGCTTTACACTCATCAGAGTCATCTCGACATAATTAAGACGTATGAAAATGAGAAAAGTTTAACATTAAGTCCACAACTAATAGGCTACTAATAGATTATCAAAATTCCATTTCAATCGAGTTTCCAAATAAAAACTTTCTCTGAGAGAAGTGGTGAAGTGTAAAAGTAAAAAAAAAAAACTAAAAAAAAACAAAGAAAAGAAAGAGGTTTTCATGAGAACCATCCTGACATCTTCCCTCTTCCTCATTGGATGTTACAGACCATCATCAGTTTACAATGCTGGAATTAGTTTTACCATTATTAGTCTTAGTGTTAGTTGGAGTTTTACAGCATTTGTAACTAAATAAGGTCATATAAGTGCCGAAGATTAGAGATGTTACAATAGAGTAACAAACTCAAAAAAGGAGGAGAGATAAGGACGATAGCTGTTTGATAGGAAAGAAGGAGCAAACCAAACCAGAGCACCTACTGACCACCCGCTTACCATTATTAATATTTTATATTATTTTTTTTATATTACCATTATTATTATTATTATTATTATTATCTTCTTCTGAACTTCTCCTTCTTATTAGTATAATAATTATTATGATGCTGAGGACTGTAAAATCTTCATTACGCAGGTCCCGTAAACCAAGATGTCATCGGAATGTCCCTTGATTACACCGACATATAATTCCACCAGGAGTCTAGTTGAGCCTTGACATACAAACATCAGGTCTTTACAACCACACATCCTCATTTTTTCTCCGATGCCCACGCCAAGTACGTATTCCATCCTAGAGCAATGAAATTCACAAACAAAACTCTGGGGAAGAAATCAAAAACAAAACTAGTTTAATAATGAGCCTTGGAAGATTTGAGATCAGAAGAAGAGGATGAAGAAATAGAATCACACTTTTATAACATCGATGTCCGACTCAAATTATGTATGTGCATGAACATTGGTTTTCTGAAGAAAATACGTCCCTCTAAACACGTACTAGCATAAGCCACATCTGACCCCAAATCGAGTTATACCAATCACGCGATTCCCTTTATCCAATACTACATCCTGCCTCTCAAAAGATCGTAGGAATCGAGCAATAAATAGCTGAGATATATAGATCTAGTCGATTCCAGTTTGAACGTATCCCACTTGCCCACAAAAAGATACAGCACGTACTAACACACTGTTGGTTACGTTAGTGCGTGACGTACACTTTGACCCAATGTTGTGTTTTTATTGTACGGCACATACTAACGTAAGCCACACAGCCAGGGCTGAGCCTATGGCAAAAAAACATCGCGTAGCGCTTCTAGAGAGCGGGAAGACAAGCCAAACTACACACTCACATACACACACAAAAGACACAAACACATCCCCCCCATCCTCACACACACACAAAAGACACACAAACATCCCCCCCCCCCCAATCAACCGAATAAATTAGAACGAAAGACAAA